AGAGCTGCCCGAACGCGTGGAGCAACTGGCTGCCATCTACGCAGCCCTTGACCTTCTGCCTGAGGCCAACCACAACTCCCTGGAGCGCCTCATCTTCCACCTGGTCAAGCAAGTGCCCCTCCCCACCCTGGGTGGTCTGGGTCCCGGCCCGCCTGCCTGCCTGCCTCAGGCATACTGGGCTCAATTGGGAAGGGGGTGACCTCAGGGTTTGTGTCCCCACGCGGCACAGCCTTCATGCTGCCCACCTCTGCAGGGTGGCACTGCTGGAGGATGTCAACCGCATGTCACCCAGCGCCTTGGCCATCATCTTCGCACCCTGCCTGCTACGCTCCCCCGACACGTCGGACCCGCTAACCAGCGTGAAGGACGTGCTGAAGATTACCACGTGAGTGCCTGGGGACTCTGCCCCAGGTGGGGTCGTGGCTACCAGGTTGCACTGCACTTGCAGGCCCGAGGGGAACTATGGGTCTTCTCCCCGAGGCCCTGGCCAAGTCCAAGTCCGTGTCCCCGCCCCGCCCCCCCCATTTGTGGCCCCGCATGCAGGTGCGTGGAGATGCTGATCAAGGAGCAGATGCGAAAGTACAAGGTGAAGATGGATGAGATCAACCAGCTGGAGGCAGCTGAGAGTATCGCCTTCCGCAGGCTCTCCCTGCTGCGGCAGAACACTGTAAGCCTGGGCAGGCCGGGCCGAGAGGGATAGAAGAAAGCTGGTTCCAGATTCAGCCCCCAGCTGTATCGGGAAGGTGTGGGAAGGCCCCGGCTCCCGCTGCATGACTGAGTGCTGAGCTGTGACTGGGCCTTGGGGACTGAGTCAGGGCTGGCAGTGACAGTGACCAAGGACCTGGGGGGTGGGGGATGGGAGGGAGGCTCCACTCCCCACCTCTTCCAGCCTTACTCAGCCCCACAGGGACGCTCCCTGGCCACTGTGGGGAGCAGTGCCTCCTCTTGGTGACCAGGTTCACTGCCCTTCCTGCTGGCTAGGCCCCCCCCCACAGGGGAACCTTATACAGTATGGAGCAGGGGCAGGTGGGACCGCCCTGGCACCCAGGCAGCTGGCTCAGCCCCCTGCCTCATGCCTTGTAGTCACCCTGCCTTCATCTCTCTCCCAGCCGTGGCTTCTCAAACTGGGGTTCTCATCTCCGTACGAGGGGGTCCTGGTAGGTACGGGCTGGGGAGACTGCTTGCATGCCTATCTCACGTGGGGTGCATGCTGAACTCCCCTCTCTGCCCACCTCAGTCCTCTAGGCTAGACTTCACCCTCACCTTCCGGAAGTGCATGCTGGGAGTGGCCCCTCACCACCCCTGGTGAACAGTCCTTGCTCAAACCCCTCACACACATCACAACTAACCAGCGGCTCCCACTCCCCTCTAGCCAGCTCGGCCACTAACCTCACCCACGGAGGCACTAGCCAACTGGCAAGCAGTCAAGCACTCAGCTACTGGCCCAAAGGTCGGCAGTTCGAACCCACCCGATGGTGCCGCATAAGAAATGTCTGGAGCCTTCTGAAACACCACAGCCCTGAAAACCCTGGGGGTCAGTTTCACTCTGCACACATCAGCGTGCCGCGTGCCCCACCTGACTCGACACTAACACCCTTCCAGAACAAGAGCCCCAGAGCCCAGGCGAGCGGCAGTGGCCTGGAGGAGCTGGGGGTGTTACACGAGGAGGAGGAGGCAGCGGCGGCGGCTGGTGATGAGGAGGACCGGGAGAAGGAGCTCCTCATGGAACGCATCCAGTCCATCAAGGAGGAGAAGCAAGTGCCCTTGGGGCGGCGGGTGGCTGGGTCCCCACAGCAGTCCCACTGCCCTGGCAGAGAGGTCCACAAGGAGAGAGGGCAGCAGCAGCAGGGCCCAGCTTTTTCTTTAAGCTGGTTTCAGCCCAGGCAGCAGATTGTCCCCAAATCCAAGGGTAAGGGGACACTGTTAAGAGTCATGCTGGGGAGGCTTCAGACAGGGCAGACTGTCAAGCACCCGGCTACTAAGCAAAAGATTACGTTGCAAACCCACCAAAGGCACCATAGAAGAAAGGCCTGGCAATGTCCTGTCCCATACAGCCAAGGAAAACGCTAGAGGGAGGTCCTGATGCTGCGAGCTGGTGGCTAGGGGTCTTGAATTGATACACTCTTCAAGGAGACAGGAGGAGAGCCCTTAGGACGGCTAGTTATGGAAAGTGAATGCTGAGTGCAGGCGAGGCGGGAGCCTCAAGGAAGTCAGAATCTACTCGAGGCAGTTGGGTGGGGTTGGGTGAGGTCAGCTTGGCTGCGTAGGACCAGGAGGAAAAGACTGAGAATTCAGACCCCCACAGCCCTGCAAGTCCCTGGGGTGGAGAGGGGGTTGGCAAACGGGTGAGTGCTTCAGCTTCAGCTAGCCAAAAGATGGACAGTTCAAACTGACCTGAAGGGACAGCAGAAGAGAGACCTGGTGATCAGCTTTCCAAAACGGTGACAGCCATTCTGACACCGTAGAGATGCTCAGGACAACCGGCAGGAATTGTACTGGGGAGAGGGGGCGGGGCCGGGTGCCTGCCCTAGGACCACCTTGAACTCTGGCCCCTCCACTCGCCCACTCACCCCTCCCACCCCACCCCCACCCCCAGGGAGGACATCACCTACCGCCTGCCGGAGCTGGACCCACGCGGCTCCGATGAGGAGAACCTGGATTCGGAGACGTCTGCCAGTACCGAGAGCTTGCTGGAGGAGCGGGCTGGGCGGGGGGCCGCGGAAGGTCAGTATTAAGGTAGCGTGCACTTTTTTTTCCTTCCTGTCCTCCCGGGCAAGGTGGGGCCACAGCAGAACGTCGCTGACCCTGCCGTCTGTCTCCCAAGGACCCCCCGCGCCTGCTCTCCCCTGCCCCGGCGCACCCACCCCGAGCCCCCTCCCCACGGTGGCCGCGGTGGCAGCCCCTCCGCGACGCAGGCCGTCGTCCTTCGCGACGGTCCGAGTGAAGACCCCCAGGCGCACACCGGTCATGCCCACGGCCAATATCAAGCTGCCACCTGGGCTGCCCAGCTGGGCGTCCGGAACCCGGGATCCCGGGATGCCTGTGCGGCGCCGTGAGCCGCCTGCCCGCCGCCCGGATCTGGTGCACTCGGTGTACAGGGCTCCCGGCGCTGGACTGCCCGCGCAGGCCGCCTATGAGATCCTGGGCGAAGAGGAGATGCCTCCTGGGGCCAAGCGGAGATACTCAGACCCCCCCACCTACTGCCTGCCCCCCGCCGCAGGCCAGACCGACAGCTGAGGATGCAGCTGGCCAGACCCAGGCATCCACCAGCTCCAGCACCGACTGTACGGAAGGATCCACGAGAGTTCCGAGACTGGTCGGTTAACGCAGGACCAGCCCAGCGCCTCCCCACAGGGCCGCCCAGCGGGAGGGGCTTCTTTGTCCGTAACTTTCCGTGTACGTCGTTTACAGAACTTGAAACTGTAATAGCCTTAATGGGAAGACCAAATTGTTTGTTTGTTTGTTTCTTTTTTTATAAATATGTTTATGTAAAAACTTGTACTTTAACCCCACACATCTTCCTTTAACCTGGACGCGAGTCGTCCTGCAGCAGACAGAACCACAGGCCCTTGTGGGGGCCGGACAATGGGCCGGCGGGCCTTCCAGAGGAGGGGGACACTTGGGGCGTCTGGCTGGGTTACAGATGTGCCCTGGCCCCGCTGGCACCGTGCGTCCTCGTGGACTGGTGGGGCCAGGCGTGGGTGGGGGTCAGGGATCTTGGAGATCCAGGACACCAAGCCGGGGTGGCCTCTGCCCGTGGCACCACCAGGCCTCGCCTCCCCCCGGAGTCAGGTCCCGGTGGGACAGACATGGTCAGGACCCCCCTTCCCACCATGCCCCCATCTCGCTCCCAGCACCCGTGGTACAAAGGGATTGGCCTGCCACTGGGGACCTGTGTTGGCGAGGCATGGGTTCCACCCCCACTGGCAGTCAACAGTGGCAACTTGGGGGTTTGGGGGCAGGTCAGCACCCTCCCCAAGACTCCTGGACACGTGAAATAAACAGTGCCTGAGACCTGTTTGCGTGCGACTCTGTCTTTGGGGGCTGGGCTGCCAGAGGGTGGGGTCAAAGTGAACCAGGGCAGCAGGTGGTGGGAAGCCCACCATTGCCCTTCCTCGGAGGCTGACCTAGGTGTGAGCTATGCACGGCTCCCACAGGAAGACCCCACGGCTAGGGCTTGGGGGGCAGGCGCCTCCAGATCCACCCCAGAGCCGGGAGGAGCTGCAGAGTTCCATCTGGTGAGCTGTGTCTCCTATTGCCCCATTTATACAGTGCCAGAGGGGGAACTGAGGCTCAGCACCCAAGCCTCTGCCTAGCCAAGGCTTGTTGCCCTTAACATCATCTGCAGGGTCCACCCACACTTCTGAGGGACCAGTTCCGGGGTGGGCCCCTCAGAGCGGCAGCTAGGAGGCACCCCGCCAGGCTACAATTGGCTGCTGGGGTCGGGTGGATATGATAGTTTTTGTGACAGCTTGGCTGGGCCAGGAGCCTTGCTTTAGCCAGTGACGCCTCACCCACAATGTAATCCACTCCGTGACAGGCTCTTCAGTTGCGGCAAGATTAGGGTGGAGTGTACTTGTTAGGTGCCCTCCAGTCATGTCCAACCCATCGTGACCCTGTGGACAACAGAAGGAAACTACACAGTCCCGTGCGGTCCTCACAACTGTTCCCGTGTCCGAGCCCATGGACGCAGCCGTGTCCGTCCGTCTTGCCAAGCAAGGCCTTCCTCTTTTTCGCCGCCCCTCCGCTTTACCAAACATGATCTCCTCCAGGGGCGGGTCTTTCCTGACAACCTGTCCAGATATGTAAGACAAAGTTGCCATCCTTACCTCTCAGGAGCACCCTGGCCGTACTTCCAAAGGCAGATCGGTTTGCCCTTCTGTTCTCTACCACAATTCAAATGCATCGATCCTTCTACGGTCTTCTGTATTCGGTGTCTGACTTTCACATGCATGAGACAGAGAATAAATCCCAGTAAGACAAAATCCTTGACAACTTCAGTCTTTTCTCCATTTATCACAATGTGACCTATTGGTCCACTTGTGAAGATGTTGGTCTTCCTTACACAGTTATAATCCATACTGCAGGCAACAATCCTTGATCTTCATCAGCAAGGGCTTCAAGTCCTCCTCACTTTTCAGCCAGCAAGGCTTGTCATCTGCATAGGGCAGGTTGTTGCTAAGCTTGCCTCCAATCCTGACGCCACGTGCTTCTTCGTATAACCCAGCTTTGATGATTTCCTCGTCATATGGGTTGAACAAGTATGGTGAGGATACACAGACCTTTCCTGATTGTAACCATGCTGTAGCCCCATGTTCTGTTCGCCCAACTGTCTCAATCCATGTACAATTAGGTCACAGCCCTGATCCAACTGGTTTCCTTGGGCTGGGGCCTACTCCTATTTAAGAGATGATTCTTGCTGCCTTGGATCCTGCATCTGTCTCATCCACCTCGGGTGCTTTGGACTTGAACCAACAGCTTGCCATACTGTGATCCTGGGAGGTGGCAGCAGCCTGCCATATTGCTTGCCAACCTTGGATTTAATCGAGTCAACTGACGTTGGCTTCTCCATCTCTGCCTCTACTAGCCTATGTCCTTCCAGTTTCCTGGTTCATCAACCCCCGACAGCTACATGATTTAAGAAAAGCCTCCAACTTTACATCTGATCCACTTTGAACATCTTGTCAGGAGGGACCAGTCCCTGAAGAAGGACATCATGCTTGGTAAAGTAGTGGGACAGCAAAAAAGAGGAAGGCGTTGAACAAGGCAGATTCAATGTGTTCAAATTTGAGAACTGTTTGAGACACTTTACTGTTATATTTTTATACATTATATAGATATATATTCCTCTAGAGCAGTGGTTCTCAACCTTAATGCTGTGACCCTTTAATACAGTTCCTCATGTTGTGGTGATCCCAACCATAAAATTATTTTGTTTCTTAATCATTTTATTGGGGGCTCTTACAACTCTTGTTACAAACCATACATCAATTGTATCCGACATATTCCATCGTTCTTTTCTAGACATTTACTTTCCATTGTGCCCTTGGGGTCAACTCCTCCCTACCCCCCCGTCTATAAAATTAATTTCGTTGCTACTTAAACTAATTTTGCTAGTGTTATGAATCAAGCGACCCCCTGTGAAAGGGTCGTTCGACACCCCCCCCCACCCCCACCCCCCGGTTGAGAACCATAGCTCTAGACAATCCTGTTGAATGCAGTGAACTGTCCAACGGAGGGGCGGGCAGAAATGGTCTTACAGACCCTGACTCGGCAACCCCACAGGGCAGAGTAAAACTGCCTGAAACCCAAGTCTTTAGGGAAGCAGGCGGCCTTCTCCTCCCTCCGAGCAGCTCGCGGGCTTTCCCGCCTACTTTTCAGTTTCCGTTGGCCCTTCAGTGTTTAAGCGGCTGCAGCCCAGCTCTCCACTGCACCCCTATCGAGCTACCCCTGCTAGGTGCGGGGGCGTCGACCCTGGGCTCCTCCCAGAGGCTCTGCCCTTTAGGAGCGTCTCCACGGGGTTTCTTTCCAGATGGAGGAGACCGGGCCCGGGGTCCGGGGCTCGGTGAGAAAAGGGGGCTGCCCCGTCTGGCTCTGAAGCCCCACTGTTAGCGCAGCTTGGTCTCCTAGCTCGGCGTGGGGCAGGGAGGGCAGTGGGCAACGCAACCAGAGGTGGGTGCTGAGAAAGCTCAAGGAGCACGGAGGGACCCGCGCGCGGGGCTCCCTCCAACCCCAGGGGAAGGACTCAACACGCCTGAAGCCAAGCAAGCACCCGCGCCCGCAGGAGCTCGGGATGGGCGGGCGCCGGGCCTGGAGACCAGGAGTCACTTCCGCCCCAAGCAAACGTGGGCCAGCCCACGAAGACTGACGAAAGGAAGGCACTTCCGCCCTTCTTCAAAATGGCCCCGGCGGAAGGGGCGGGGCGTCGTCCGGTGGCGATGGCGGCGTCAAGGCTAGAGCTTAATCTGGTGCGGCTGCTGTGCCGCTGCGAGGCGATGGCGGCGGAGAAGCGGGACCCGGACGAGTGGCGCCTGGAGAAGGTGAGAGTCCCACGTTGCCGCCACGAAAACCGCTACGTTCAGAGGCCGCTCTCTGGAGCTGACCGCCCCCAGACCGGCTCCCCGCCCCCCACCGCTCGTTGGCCACGCCTCTTCCTGTCGCGGCCCCTCCCGCCCGCCACGTAATTCCGTTCCCACCCTTGAGACCACGCCTTCCGTCTGACCACGCCTCCTCTTGGTGTTTGACTCCTCCCCTGAGCCCGCCCCTCACCCTGCCTCTTACTGCTGCTAGCAGAACTTGGTTGAGGCGGATAACAGACACCCCGCTTTATCTCCTTAGTACGTGGGCGCCCTGGAGGACATGCTGCTGGCCTTGAAGGGCCAGACCAGGTGAGTACGGGCCACCCACCAGGGTTTCACACCCAAGGGTCCCAAGAGAACTGACTGGGACCCTCCCCGGGGGCTGGCTTTCTTTTTTCTCCTGCCCATCCCAGTAAGCCAGCCTCCGAGGTCCTCCATGAATACTCTCGCAAAGTGGACTTTCTGAAGGGGATGCTGCAGGCAGAGAAGCTGGTGAGCCAGGACCTCTTTCTGGGTGGTCCCCACTATACCCTCCTGTGTCTCTGAGACCCACTCCATCCATGTGCGACCCCCCGTGCCTTTCTCTCTGCAGACCTCCTCCTCGGAGAAGGCGCTAGCCAACCAGTTCCTCGCCCCAGGCCGTGTGCCGACCACCACCCGGGAGCGAGTGCCTGCCACCAAAACAGTGCACCTGCAGTCTCGGGCGAGGTACACTGGTGAGATGCGCAACGAGCTGCTAGGCATGGTGAGGCCCCTCTCGGGTCCCTGGGAGCCCTTTGGGCTGTGGACTGCAGAATGATAAATACTGCAGGTCCAGGTCCAGGGATCCTGGAACACTTGACAGCCTCTTCTCTGGGGCTATCACCGAGTATTATGGACAGGGCTCTGCTGGGTAAATAGGAGTTCAAAACAGAAGGTGAATGTGGTGCATACCCTGGTAAATCTCAAACTACTGGCCACAAGAACTGCCAGGTGCCTTTCTGAGCATTTTACATGAGTCAGTTTAACTCCACTCTGCAGTTCAGAGTTGTAGCTGTTGCCAGTTTGTAAATGAGGAAATTAGAGGTAACAGGGCTTGCCCAGGGCCCTGACTGAGGTTAGGAAGGTTCTGAGAACATGAAGGATAGTTTGGGGACAGAACAAAATGGGTGAGTTTATGTCCCTCTCTTTTCCTTGCAGGACTCTACGGAGGGTGAGTCTCCCTGTACAGAACAGGATTCAAGACCCAGCAGCCTGGGACAAGACCTTACTGCTCCACGTTCTGGGGCCCTGCCTGGTTCCCACAGGAATATCCCCCATCTAGAAATGGTGACCAGGGGCATCATTTAGTCAGACCTCACGTACTGGTCTGAGAGAGAAGTGGCCCCTGGAGGACCGAGCTCAAGGGAGGGTGCTAAGGGGCTCAGGTGGCAGTGAAAAATACTTTGAAGCCAAAGGGGCATTCAAGCTGGGGTTTCGAAGCGTAGTTAGGAGCCTGCCAGGCAACAGAAAAGATGGGGAACGGCACGGCACAAGCAAAGGCCACAAGGCTAGAGAGCTGGAGACCAATCCTCTCCCTTCTCTCCTCTTCCTTCTTCCTGCATGGCAGAGTCTGGACTGGATATAAGGAAGCGAACGTGAGTGTCCCTGGGCCCCTAGGCAGTGTGGGGGGCGGGGAGCAGGGAGGGCGGGGGGGGGGGGGGGGGGGGCAGCAGGGAGGGCGGGGTGATCCAGGAAACACCTATCAGAAGCCACTCTATGGAGATACTTTTCCCAGAAGCTGAAGCCAAGAAGGGGAAACTAAGGTAGTGGCTGTAGCTGTGGCCTCTGGGCTCCCAGCAGACATGGCAGTCTTCCCCTCTCATACCCCATTTCCCATGTCCACCTGCCCACCCATGTGTGGGATCAGTGGGCTCGCAGGGTCCAGGCCAGTGGATGAGAAGCAGTCGGCAGCTGACCTTGACCTTGCCCTCCAACGGCACCAGAATCTCCAGGAGAAGCTAGCAGAGGAGATGTTAGGCCTTGCCCGCAGCCTCAAGACCAACACTCTGGCTGCGCAGAGCGTGATCAAGAAGGACAACCAGGTCTGGAGACCCTGGGGACCCTGTGCCCACTGCCCTAGGGGTTTCCCCAGAAGATTTCCCAGCAGAGGGGCATTGTGGCCAGGGCTTCGGTGGGTGGATAGGAGTTCAGAAGCAGCCAGAAATGGCATTCCCAGTTCCGGGCACACAGTGCCAAGAGGTGCATACCTGACTCAGGACAGTAGAAAGAAGTGAGCTCTGACCCCTGTCCTGTTGCTGTCCTCTGCACCTAGACCCTGTCACACTCGCTCAAAATGGCCGACCAGAACCTGGAGAAGTTGAAGACGGAGTCAGAACGACTAGAACAACACACGCAAAAGTCCGTCAACTGGCTACTCTGGGCGATGCTCATCATTGTCTGTTTCCTCTTCATCAGTATGATCCTCTTCATCCGGATCATGCCCAAACTCAAATAAAGGCCTGGCCCTGTCCACTCGTCTGCTTCTGCCTGCCTCACGCCCCTAGTCCCCGATGGGATGGACAGCAAGAGGGGACAGTGTTGGGTAGTCCCTGGGAGCCAGAGAGATCGTGTGAGCATAGTGAAGGGGAAGTCAACACTGTGAGCCCCATGTTCCTTGAGACACCAGGGAAGCCCACCCCCACATCTTGGAGAACCATGGGTCAATGTGATCCTTTTAGTCTTGTGGGGCCGGAGGATGGAACAAGGTCTAGTGGTGCTAGTGGGTGGGGCAGAGCTAGGCCCGGAGGGCTGCCTGAAGGAGGAGGCATCACGGCAGGGTCCTCCTTGGCATTAAAGGCGCTCATTCTGGGAAAGCTCATCCGAACACCAGCCACAGCCAAAGCTCTCCCTCAGCATGCTGCATCCTTCGTATAGTCCAAAGCTCATGTCCAAACAGCACCGGGTATGGTGGCTCAGCAGAGACCTCCCTGTCACCATATGACCAGTCCAGAGGAGAGCTGGGTGGGAGGCTGGAGTCAGGACCAAGGTAGAGGGGTGGCAGTGGGGGGGTCCTGGAGGGAAGCTGGGGGGCAGGGAGTCCTTAGGACAAGTTGACAGAGGGTTGGGGCAGGTGGGTGCCAGGCTCTCCCTGCCCCCACTTCAGATGACCCAGATCTGTGGGAGCTTGGGTGGGTCTTGTGGCGGCAGGTAATGCTAATGGAGGTGTCTCGTCAACAGGACTGTAAACCCGCCAGGGAGTTTTCTGCAAACACTAGTGGGAGTTTTTGTTTTATTGTTTATAAAAACAGGAGACTTGTGCCTCCAGCAATAGTGAATGTCAACATCAGGAAGCCTGTTCGCCAAATTGAGCACAATAATGCACCTGAGGACAAGATTGCAAGCGCTGAAAGGGCTTCTTAGGCTCTTCTTCGGCATCCATTACTCTACATCCACGAGTGAAGGAGAAATACAGTGACTTGTTGGCTGCCACCCATCTGGCCCCAACTCGTGGCCCCACACACCAGAAGAGTGCAACTGCCTGGCCCATCACCATGACCTGTTACAGCAGGGACCAGGAGGTCCTTAAGGTGCTCACAGACTAATTTTGGAAACTTGGTTGCTTGCCAAGCCTTCTTTGTCCGTCTTAGAGTGCACTGCTGAAATCTGAGCAGCACCCTAGCCGTGTGTAAGGTGGGTGATGGGCACGCGGGAAGCGCACCGGTTGAGAATCAAACGTAGATGCCCTGCATTAAAAACTGAAAAAGTAGTCACTGCTCGCTATTTTCAACCCAACGGAGAACGGCCCGAGTCTTCAAGACAAACTCTTCATGGAAGTAAGCCCCGTCTCTCCAGATCTCCGACACGGGAGGTGAAAATTCTATCACTGAGTCACCACGTTCCCATGGAAAAATAATGATAAAGGCCTGTTTTCCTAAGTGGACGGAAAAAGTTCAAGCCCAGAGACTGAATGCAAACACGGACTTCTGGCCATTGCCTCGCAATTGAAAATCATTCTAGAGCTACTAGCTAATGCAATCGGAAGCGAACAAGAAATGAGCTTGAAAATCGGGACTAACAAGCTCTCAAAAAGAGAATTCAGTGCCCTAGCAAACAGCATAAGGAATATTCTTTAAAATAATTGTATACTACATGAATAAAAACTGCAAAAAGTATCGGCAGATCTCATCATGAGCACAAAAGTAGAAAGGCTCATCTTACTCCCCTGGAGCGGCTGGTGGCTTCGAACTGCTGATCTTGGGGTTAGCTGTCCAACCGAGGAACTACAGTCCACCACCACCAGGGCTCCACTGAACATGCAGGGGACAATGTGTTAGTCTGGGTACATTAGAGAAACAAATCCACAGAAACTCATATAAGAGTTTTTGTCTTCTTTTTTTAAAAAAAATCCTTTTACCGGGGGCCCTTACAGCTCTTATAACATTCCACACATATGTTGCCATCATCATTGCTAAACATTTACTTTCTATTTGAGCCCTTGGGATCCACTCCTCTTTTTTCCCCTCCCTACCCACACTCCCACTTTTTTAAGTCTTTTTTTTTTTTAATCATTTTATTGGGGGCTTGTACAACTCTTTTTTTTAATCATTTTATTAGGGGCTCATACAACTCATCACAATCCATACATACGTCAATTGTGTAAAGCACATTTGCACATTCGTTGCCCTCAACATTCTCAGAACATTTGCTCTTCAGTTAAATATGAGTTTTATAGCAAGGGTAAATGTACATTAAGAAAGCGTCCCAACCCCGTGCTGTCCAAACCCATAAGTCCAACATTAGCACATATTTCCCACACCAATCTACAAAGTCCTTCTCCATCTCACAAAACACACACAATGACGCTGACAGCAGGTGGAATGCCAAATCAGTGAGCATGTAAGCATCTCAGTGCTGGCAGGCTGCTCCAGCACCCAGGGCTGCATCAGGATAGGTCCATGTGGTTTCTTCTCAGGGATGTCTTGCAGGAAGTGAGCCTTGCCAGCTGAAGCAGGGAACTGGCTAAGGCAGCTGCACCCTGGTCTGACCATCAGAAAGCAAGAGACCTGAGAACTAGAAAGGTGAGGCTCACTGAGCGATTTATCTCTCCGCCCTTCAGTTAACCCCACATGTGTTTATCTATCTCAGGCGTCAAGAAGTTCCTAAACAAACAAACAAAAAAGACGTTCCTAAACAACTTCCAGGATCTTTTCATTCCTTGTTCCACAATGTTTTTAAGCTCACTGGTTCACCTGAGGATGATGGTCCGTGAGGATACAGTGTTTCTCTGGACAAAGATGAGGCTTTCTACTTCTGAAGAGTTAGTCTCGGAAACGCACAGGGGCAGCGCTTCCCTGTCCTATAGGGTCACTAGGAGTTAGAATGGACTTCATAGCAGTGAGACTGATTTTAGTTGGGTTTCAAATGTAAAATGCCCAGGTTCCCTTGCCTCGTGAGCCCATTTCTGGGACTTTATATCCAACAGATAATTCTACCTCGTGTGTCCAAAGAAATTAGCACGTTGAACATAAACTGAGCACACACTCACGGAAAACAACCCGTATTCCGACAAATAAACCGAGGGTCTCAAACCTCACTGCCAGCGAGTGGATGCCGACCCATAGTGACCCTACAGGGCAGGGTGGGGCTGCCTCTGTGTGTCTGAGACTGTCACTCTTCGCACGGGAGGAGAGGAAAAGGTTACATCCACCTGGACACACGTCGGACCTGGGTAGAGGTTCGAGTCCCCCGTGCGCGCGGGAGCACCAGGCCCCTCCAGGGCTCGCTCCCACAGGCCGGGCCCCGCCCCCTCGCACAAGGCCCCGCCCCCTCGCACAAGGCCCCGCCCCCTTCTGCCCTGCGACCTCCGCTGTGGAGTGCAATCTCCGGTTAAAGCTCAACCGGAGCGGCCGGACGTTCTCTTCTGGAGCTCCGGACCCCGGACTCGGAGCCCGGACGCTGGGACAGGTGACTCTGCGGGGGCGGCCTGTGCGGCCTGCAACCAGGGCGGGCGACCTGGGATGCTTCCCCGGGGCGGTGACCCGGGGAAACTCGTGCTGTCGCGGGGAGCCTCCGGCCCTGCGGGGGTTAACCCGGGCCCCGCCCCGATGACGCGGTGGCGTCACGTTTATTTGCATAGGGCTTTTCCTACGTACGCAGAGGCGGGGTCTGGGCTGCGCTTCGGGGCCAATCGGATGGTCTATGCAAATAGAGGCGGGTTCCCGGAAGCCGCTCCGGGCGCAGTTAGGGATGCCGTAGCTGTTCTCCGGGCGTCTGCGTCCCTTGCCCGCCTCCGGACGCACCTTTCTACCGCGTCCTCAGGCTGCCCGCCGACCCCCCCCGCCATGCGCGGGCCGCGACGCCACCCGTAGGTCCCGCCCGCCGCCCAGGGGACCCCCTAACGGCGCCGTCCCGAGGTCAATGCCCATCCGGGAGACTCCCCAGACCCACGGTTCCCAGAGGGACCCCCAGCTCCGCCCACCTGGCCCTGGGCCTCCGGTGAGTACGAAGGAAAGCCCCAGGCTGGGACCTATGCAAAGAATTCAGACCCACAACTTGAGAGATTCCCATTTCTCTGTAGCCCCCGGGCCGACCGTGTCTCGTCGGGGTAAACCCCAAACCATGATTCTTGCAGTGTTTGCGGCGACACGACCCTCGAGCACTGGAAGCCAGCTCGCCACGCAGTCTGTGCCAACCTCAGTCCGGAGCCCACAGGGCACGGCCCAAGAAGATTGTGTTTGAGGACGAGCTGCCTCCCCAGGCTTTCCTGGAGACCAGGAGGCCTCTCGGAGCCACCCCTGGGGTTTATAAACCCAGTCCCCACCCATTGCCCGATTATGAGCTGTGAGTGGCTCTCCAGATGCCTGGGACCTGGGAAGGGTCACTGGGGCTGGGGCTTTGACGGGTGGAGAGGAGTATACCAAGGAACCCAAAAGGGGAAACCAAGCGTTTCAGGCCCCAGAGTTTAGCACCCACCCCGCCAGCAAAGGCATGGAGACTAGATGGAGAAATAAACTGCAAGTAGCAGTGGAGGGAGGTGTCTACCCTCCCACTCTGACCCACTTTGCCCTGGCAGGAAATACCCCTCCGTGAGCAGTGAGAGGGAGCGGAGCCGCTACGTAGCTGTGTTCCAGGACCAGTACTCGGAGTTCGTGGAGCTGCAGCAGGAGGTGGCCTCCGCACAGGCGGAGCTCCATCACCTGCAAACTCAGCTGAACTCGCTGCCCCCACCCCGCAGCCAGGTCAGTGCTGGGCCGAAAGCCCTGCCTGCAGCAGCCCCAGGCCTGATCTTGTGGGTGGGGGCGGGGTGCTTTCTTCTCCTGGCTGGTCAGCACCTCCACATGTGGGGCCAAGGTCAACCCTGGAGGGGCTCTCTAGGCCAACCTCTATTTGTCTGAGCCTGTTGCCCTGTTCCCCCTGGGGTCCAGCATCCCCTGAGTCTCCTACGCCCCCTCCTTCCACAGAAGGAGGCCCAGGTCACTGCCCGAGTCTGGAGGAAATTTGAGAAGAAGCAGATGGTGAGTCTTGATGCCTGGGTCCTTGTGGGCCCTGACCCTTGTGCCCATGTTAAAGGAGAGAAAACTGACGCAGAAGGCAAACCCTCGAAACAGCAGGAGGGAGCTGGGTTGCCATAGGACTTCCCTGGTTCTCGCCCTACCCAGGACCCCAGGTTTCTAGACAAGCAGGCACGCTACCGCTACCTGAAAGGCAAATTGAGGCACCTCAAAGCACAGATCCAGAAATACGATGAGCAGGACAGCGAGGGCTCCGTCTACTTCTGAGCATGCTGGCAGGCGGAGGGAAGGGCACACTCGAGTGGGGACCCCTCGTCCTGGCTTCTCTTTGGTTTCCCATCTCGGAGTTTTCCTGTCTTCCCTCTGCCTGGAATAGCTTCCCTTGGCCGCACTACGTTGTCACAAAGCTTTGAAGATCTCCAGGTAGTCAGCCTTCCCAGGACCACCTCTGGGACCCTGGGCCCAGACTCTAACTCAGCACTGTCCCCCCCGCCCCCAGCTCTCCATCGCAATGAAGGAAATGGGTATTAAACGTTGACTGTATGCAGCTGTTTAACCCTCGTTTCACGTCACCCCAAAGTGGTTCTCCCCACTCTCAGAAGTAAGCACACGCTGGAAGTTCCAAGAGACCTGCCCATGGTCCCCAAACCCTCCGATAGCCAGGACATTCCATCTCCTTCAAGACCTGAGCTCAGGTGGCCTCTGGTTGGAAAATTCTGGACTGACATCGGCTTCACCTCCTTGCCTAGCCTTGGTGGGGGGCTCCCACAGGCCACAAATGCTTGCAGCTTCAGTAATACATGGAGGCCAGGGCTCAAGACCATTCCGATTCAATTGCCCTGTGGACCAGAGAGCGAACCGCCTCCCGGTCTAGCACCAGCCTCACAATTGTCAAGTGTGCGCCCCTTGTTGCAGCCACTGTGTCAGCCCACCTTGTCAGGTCCTCCCTCTTTCTCACTGCCCCTCCACTTTAGCAAGCAGGGTGTCTTCCAGGGATTGAGTGGTACCTGGAGTCTGGTTGACACTATGTGGGTGTAGTGCTGGAGAATGCCTGGAGGGGGCACTCAGCCCAAGGACATACAGGAGGCCGACACACACACACACACACACACACACACACACACACAACCACCGCCACCATGGTGGCACCAACCCCCTCCATGTTCCTCTCCTCTGATCCTTGGTCCTTTGACGGAGGACAATGATTGACACGAAGTGCTGTGTGGCTGTCATGCATATGCAGGACCCTGAGAGCCTCTCAGGTTCTGGGGGAGCATAGGTAGGGCAGGTCCAGGCTGCCTGCTAGGCTGTGTGACCTTGAACTGACTGCTACTGCCCTCTGATTCTTGGTCTCCCAGAGAAGTCTCAGGAGAGTGGCAAGCAGATAAGGTGGTGCCAGTCACTTGAGTGTAGCCATGGTCCACAGCCCCAGGGTTAACCCTTGAGCCCCTTGTCTGGGGAGACAGCCATGGACCCTGTGTGATACTGTAATGATGGAGAGATCAATAGCAAAGATAACAACCAGGGAGGCTGATGAGATCTTCCTGCAGGAGGGGCTGTGTGGATGGGGTTTTGTAGGAGAGCGGTCATTCAGTTGTCAGGGGTAGACAGACATCCAGTCTCCAGCAGGACAGCCCCTCCACGGTATCACTCGGGCCTGAGTTAGCCTTGGTTTGTGAATCTGAGAAATGGGCCATTTTCTAGCCCCTACCAGACGGACATGCACCCACTTACCCTTGGGTGAATCCAGAGCCCTTGATCCAGTACAGGGCCCAGTTCAACCTTTAATAAAGTCCAGTGCCCTCCCTTCTCGAGGGGCTAGAGCATGCCCATAAGGCCCCATTCATTCCACGGAAAGGGGTATCATTTCATTTCAAAGACTTCCAAGATAGGCACTGGGAGCATTTTAGAGGGATAGGGCTGCAGGGTGACGTGGTGTGCTCTGGATGCTCTCAAAAGGGGGCATCCTTTGCTGCAGGGCTCCAGTGAGAGTCTGAGGTACCAGCTTTACAGCCACCACCATCATCCAAGTCCCTCCTAGCTCCCCAGTCCTGTCGGTACAGCCCCACCTTTCCCACCAAGGACACGGGGCTCCATGACCTGCAATACCACCCCCCTTCCCTTGTCCACTCAGCCAGGTCTGTTTCAGCCTTACCTCACAGTGGTCCCGAACACCAATCTCCAGGGGGTTTATCACCCAATTCAAACTGGCTTGGACAACAAGTGGGGATATTTGATCTTATAAACTTCAGTGTCTGAAAACTTCAGGTATGGCTTGATCAAGGGGCTCCAGAGGCATGCTGGGATATTGAGTTTCCTCTGTAGGGACTGCCTCACTGATTATATCCTCCAGGTCCCATTGGTCTGCTCTGGGTCACATGATCTCCCTGAACCAATCATTGTGGCCAGGGCAGAAGGTCGACTGCCTGGACTGTTATCAGGACAGGTCAAAGGCCTCCCTCAGCCCACATGAGCTCAGAGAGTCCTTGAGGGAAGAGAGTTCTAAGGACTCCACGGAGCCCAAATACCAAGATTAAGAGCCGACTTTTAGTTGCTTAAAGTATGTTCGGTCCAGGGCTTGACTCTACTGTCCTGCTCAACTGCCTCGGCTAATACAAAGCACAGGCCATCTGCCGAGCTCAACATGCGGGGACCCCCTGGCTGCTCTAAGGCCCTCTGCCTCCCCCCTTAGCTTGTTTCTGTGTACACAGTAGGGCTGGGGTGGGTACCAAGACAGTGGGACCCCTGGGCATCCCGGGACTGAGACACAACAGGGCAGATTGGCATGTAGGAAACATCTGTATTACTGTATCCCCATGCTCATTCCTCATGTAGTGAGTGTCCATGCCCACCCCACCCCTGCAGTCCCAAAAATTCATCCTGGGCTCCAAGGGACGGGTTGTGTACGGATGGGAACGTGCCACGCCTCCCCACATCTTTGCCAGGGCACCGGAAGACATGGCTGGAATCTGCAGACCATCCGTCTCTTTTTGGTTTCATGATCATTTAAAAAACAGAAAAGTCAAACATTTCACAGTCTTTAAAAAAGAAAAGTCTGAGAAAGGGCCAAGGTCCTTGGCCTAGGGGCCCCGAGCATCTGTGTCCCTGGAGGCTGGTCACTGGCCGGAGCCGTAAGGCCAGTTGAAAGTACTTCCCGAGAGCAGCATGTCACGGATCAGCGTCTCAATGGGCGTCTTGCCCACCAGGCGCATGAAGAACAGCTGGGAGATGAGTGAGGCTGGGACGGCGCGCAGGGCGGGCAGGCGCAGCAGCAGGCGGCCGAAGCGCTGGGGCTGGGCTGGGTACTGGGCCCGCACGTACTCGGTCAGGGCCACCTGCGCCTTCTCCTGCAGGCTCTCCACGTGTGCTGGGTCTGAGAGACCACAGGCATCTGGAGAGATGAGGGTGCCATCAGGTGGGAAGAGAGGATGAGCCCACACCCAGGTGACCTTAAGCATGGCTTAGAGCGCTGGGATGGTTGGTGAGGGGGTTCCTGGGGCACAAAGGAGGGCTTCTAAGGCAGTGTGGACTGGGGTACAGGCAGTGATGTGCTGAGGGTGGACAGGACTCCCCTACAAAGGTGGCTATAGGAGTCAGATTACAGACTGCCTGGAGAATCAACAGGCTGGGAAGGCACAGGACCCAGACTCCCAGCAGGGCAGGCCATCTGGCCACACCTCTGGGGGAGGGGCCTTGGAACGGCACCACAACCCTATGCAGACCAAGGCTGGAGGCTGGCATCTTGTGGGAAGGAATCCTAGGCTGAGTGCCCAAGAATTCAGGGGCCCCAGAACCAAATGTCAGGGCACTCCTTACCTGGCAGACTTCCCTGAGGGCTTTGACCTGGGGGTCAGAGGGTTTAGAAGCAGGGGTCCTCAAATTTGTTAAGCGGGGCCAGTACACTGTCCCTCAGACCCGTTGGAGGGCCGGACTATAGTTTTTAAAAAAAACTTAAATTCCTATGCACACTGCACATATCTTATTTTGAAGTAAAAAACAAAACGGGGCAAAAACACCCGGGCGGGCCGGATAAATGTCCTTGGCGCGGCCGCATGTGGCCCGCGGGCCATAGTTTGAGGACCCTTGGGAGACTGATGAGCCTGGAGGCAGGGGGATTGGCCTACCAGTGGGGCTGGGCTAGACCCTGAGGTCTGGAGGCTGGGTGGAGTGTTCCTAGGGGGTCCTGGGGTGGGAGTTCCAATTGTCACCCCTGCTGCTCCCTCACTGCCCCACCCGCCTGCCTTCGGGGCTCACTTCGGGCAGGGTTCCCGTCTGGCTGGCTGGGGCTACAGTGGGACCACACTCAACTGACTGCTGCCCTATTAGCCCCTTACTAGGTGCAGAGCCTGGCTTTGGGGCCAGGGATTGTGGGGTTCGTGGGGCCCCCCCGCCCCCGCGGCGGGCTCTCACCAGGAGTAAAGAGTGCGATGGCCTTGAGGCAGCCGTACTCGGCCGAGTCCACCTGCAGGCGGCCCAGCTTGTCCACTTGCTCCTGGAAGGCGCGCACCTGGTCCATGAAGGCCACCGCCCGCTCGGCGGCCATGGGCGCGGCGTGCAGCCCCGCGGCGGCCAGCAGCGGCGCGGTGTGCAGGGGCAGGGCGGCCTGCGCCGCGTTCAGCACGAACAGCTCGCTCCAGCTGAGCCGCAGCAGCGCCACCTGGTCGGCCACCGGCAGCTCGGGGAAGAAGGGCGCGTGGCGCGCCCACTCCACGGTGCTGAAGAGCAGCCGCGCCGCCAGCTCGCACACGTTGTCGATGCCCAGCACCGCGCCCGC